ATATTTATATAAACTATATAAAAAAAATATATATATATATACTATATAAGAAATACTATATAAAATCTTAATTATATTACTTCATAAAAGTCCTACTAATTAAACCATTTCTCTCTGGAGCTCATATTGTAGACAGTGACAGTGGAGCTATTTCTGCCACAGTCAGACATCACCATATATAATTCATTGAGCCATAGTAAAACAAAGCAGCCTGCATCTGTCTGAGCAGCAGTCACACAGATAAAAACGGAATATGGGTCAGATGCCTCTGTGCCTGTGGTGTGACTATTTTAAAATATATGCTCCTGATACTATATGTACGCGTACCTGCTTACTCCTGCTTGCAGAGCATGGCATAGTTTCAAAAACACAAAGAAGAAAAGCTGGCTTGGGGAGAGTCTTTCCAAACCACAGGTTTCTGCAGGAAATAAACTTGGCAGCTAATTCATCGCTGGAGTTTCCTCAATATACATCGTCTTTCTCGTTCACAGGAAGCTGACAAGCATTGCCTTCAACGACATGAACCCACTGCCCATGAAGCTGCTACAGAACCGGCGCGCCACACATCTGGAACGCCTCCATGCTGAGATTCAAGAGCTGGAGAACTTACGGACAGCATACAAAGCTGAACACGTCCAGTGCAAAGACAAAGAGCTGGACACCCTGGCTAGTGAAGATGAAGAGGAGGTATAAGACATCAAACATAAGCTCTTGATGAATGTGACACAGCCTTGAATGCTGTATGAGAAACACTAAAGAAAAAGAACTCTTCATCATTTATTCACCCTCATGTTGTTCCAAACACACAAGATTCAGTCCTTTTCCATTTAATGAAAGTGAATGGAGATGGATTCAAAAAGACAACAAAGCACAATAAATTAATCTATGTAACTATATTCCAAACCCATATAATGGGTAGCATGAGGAAGAGACACAAATATCATTATTTGCAAAAAATCTTTCCCTCAGCTGCTTTTTGGTGCTTTTATCAGAATAACATGAAGGTGAGCAACTGATAGCAAAGACACCTCACAAATGGATTGACCAAAATGGTCATTTTTACCAATAAGGGGCAACCGAAAGCAGCACTGATCTCTCACTGATCTTAAATTTGAGGCTTTTAAGGGTTTTTTTAATGTTTTTGAAATACTTTTACTGCTACTGTTTATATGTGACCCAGGACCACAAAACCAGTCATAAGGGTCAATTTTTCGAAATTGAGATTTATACATCACATGAAAGCTGAATAAATAAGCTTTAATAAGCAAATAATATTTGACTGAGATACAACTATTTGAACATCTGGAATCTGAGTGTGCAAAAAAATCTAAATATTGAGAAAATCGCCTTTAAAGTTGTCCAAATGAAGTTCTTAGCAATGCATATTACTAATCAAAAATTAAGTTTTAATATATTTACAATAGGAAATTTACAAAATATCTTCATGGAACATGATCTTTACTTAATATCCTAATAGTTTTTGGCATAAAAGAAAAATCAATAATTTTGACCCATACAATGTATTTTTGGCTATTGCTACAAATATACCCCAGCGACTTAAGACTGCTTTTGTGGTCCAGGGTCACATATAACATGCATGCATATATTATCAGCCTCATTCACAGTTCACAGATTAATGATATTATGCCAAAAACATGCACATAATAAATAAACCTTAAAACTGTTTTTCACTTCAGTTTGTCTTCATATCGGAGAAAATCCATGGTGAAGTCTATTCGAACAGCTGACACATCTGAAGAAACATTGTCCTTTTTTCCCCCCGTTTTATTACTTTAAAAAACAGGATACATATGAAATCATAAATATAAAAATCAAATAAATCAACAAAAACTTAGTTCAATGTTACAAACAACTTTACTGCAGGTAAGAGCTAATAGCTAATATCACACCAGAGGAGTAAACTGATGTATTGCCTATCCATGACTGTATCCGATAACAGAATCGGCCTATTCCCCCGTGTGACACATGTGAACAGAAGCACAGTTTCCCAAAATGAAGAGGAGAAATAGACTCACAATCTCATCTCAAAAAAAAATAAATAAAAATAAAAACAGTGGCTTGTCGCATAATAAAGCTATTGTTCTATCAGTGTTAAGTCACATGTATTCTAATGCCAAACAGTTCACGTTCCTACAAAAATGGCTCATTGTTTTAAAGAGTTAGAAAAATCCCAGGTCAGGAGCATGCAGGTCGTGTGTGAGTGTGCCATTTTTGTGTGTGTGAGCCATTTTTGTAGGAACGTAAACTGTTCCTACAAAAATGGCTTGTGTGTGTGTGTGTGTGTGTATACAGATGTTATGGGTTTACTTGCTTGCCTCTAAGCACAGCTCGTCTGTCTCTTTCTAATACACACTGACAGGACTAGATGTCACGGCTGTTACTGAGATGCTTTCAGTGATTTAGAGAAAGAAGAAAAAGGCTGTGAACAAAAACAAAAGCGAACCGGTTTTCAGCCAGGTAGCATAAAAGAGAGTTTGTGTACTCCTTACATTTCTTTTTGTGCACATTTGGCAATATAAAGAGGCGTTGTGAGCCAAAGCCGCTGTCTGAGGCAGAAAAGATCCTGTTCCAGTGATTATGACACTAGAGTCCATTTAAAAAAGAATAAATAAAAACTTTCTCAGGCAGTAAATGCCCATTGTAAGGTCAGTTTTCCGGTCCAAATCCCTAAGTTCAATTATCAAGTCCAAAAAACTGATCTTAGTTCAGCATCAAAAGATGTATCTCACAAAACCTGTTTGTGCATAAACAAATTTTTTTTAGATTTTTTTTTTTGGTTGCATTTTTGACATTGTTGTTAAAAAAGTACAATTCTCCCAATCATCATTACTGTATTGTACTGTATATGTACTGTGTATAATATATATATATATATATTTTTTTTTTATTGTATTTTTCTTTTATGCTGTTAAATTAAATTACATACTGTTAAATTACACACAAAAACATATTTATAATAAGAATAAATAATAAAAAGTAATGGCCAAAAAAATATTTTTTTTAAATGTAATTAAAACATACAGATGCATTACAGTAATGAAAATTAAGCACATTTCCCTTCAAATTACACAATTACAAACAACCTTAATGGTTCAAATTTTTTTTGGCAAAATATTTTTTTTTCTTTTGATTTTGGGATGACATGTTTTTGTGAGATTCACTCTAAAAGGCAAGTTCCACCGTTCATCTTTAAACACAACCTACTTGTTCAGTCATCAAGTTTATGTTACCTGATAAAACTGTGGGTTGCGTAACCAGAAACTGCAACGTCAAGCATTTAAAAGACAATTTTGTTGACAGAGAAGATTTTCTTTAAACATTTATGAAACATCTCATATATATATTTTTTTTAATTGTATTTTTCTTTTATGCTCTGTTAAATTAATACATACTGTTAAATTACACACAAAAAAATATTTATAATAAGAATAATAATAATAAAGTAATGGCCAAAAAATATTTTTTTTTAAATGTAATTAAAACATACAGATGCATTACAGTAATGAAAATTAAGCACATTTCCCTTCAAATTACACAATTACAAACAACCTTAATGGTTCAAATATTTTTTGGCAAAATATTTTTTTTTCTTTTGATTTTGGGATGACATGTTTTTGTGAGATTCACTCTAAAAGGCAAGTTCCACCGTTCATCTTTAAACACAACCTACTTGTTCAGTCATCAAGTTTATGTTACCTGATAAAACTGTGGGTTGCGTAACCAGAAACTGCAACGTCAAGCATTTAAAAGACAATTTTGTTGACAGAGAAGATTTTCTTTAAACATTTATGAAACATCTCTATATTGAATGCGCTATAAGACGATTTTAACTATAAATGTTTTACAGCTATCATTAATTCATCTCTGTGTTTAATGTATGCCATCTTAGTGCAATATTTAACATGCTTTCAGCATAAGTTTTGTGTGGCAAATGTTACATCTCTTAAGATTTTTTTTCTTAATTCATGCTCCTTAATATCTCATAGGTACACTGTGTTCATTTCTGAACCCTCCCAAAAAAATAAAAAAAATTGTAAGACAATTCACAACATTTCCCTCCAATGCAAGACACGAAAACATGGAATAAAAATGATAAAGAAAAAACGATTTTAACTATAAATGTTTTACAGCTATCATTAATTCATCTCTGTGTTTAATGTATGCCATCTTAGTGCAATATTTAACATGCTTTCAGCATAAGTTTTGTGTGGCAAATGTTACATCTCTTAAGATTTTTTTTCTTAATTCATGCTCCTTAATATCTCATAGGTACACTGTGTTCATTTCTGAACCCTCCCAAAAAAAATTGTAAGACAATTCACAACATTTCCCTCCAATGCAAGACACGAAAACATGGAATAAAAATGATAAAGAAAAAACTCTATTCCTCAGACAGTATTTATCAATATGTAACATTCAAAACATCCATACAAAACCTGCACACATCACAAACATTTTTGCTAAACCGGACATTTGTTAGAAAACAAAAACCAATAGACTGCAGATTCCTCTGTGCATGAATAAATTATATATATATTCTCCTCAGCCGTTTTTACCATGTTCTGGCATTTGATGGGTTAGTTAAATTACTGTGAATGGTTAGATCTGTTTAAGGCTTATGAGCTGTTTCTGTTTCGAGTCCTGTGCTGCATTCAACTAGTCTATGTAATCCAGCAGGGGGCGACATTCACTCAGTTGGTTAAGGCAAAATGCAAGTTTCATGTGACTCTCCTCTCCCACAGTACCATCTAGTAGAAAATAAAACGATGTTTCCTTTCAAGATACTTTGCATGAGTAGGAAGACTTAAGTTTGATGCGGATATGAAAGTCGGAGCCCCTAGAATCTCACTAGCTTAAAAGACCAAAATCTCCACTGGTTGCAAAGAATTAAATCAAAACTGAACTAATTAAATAGTAAATGTCGTACTGTAAAGACAACTATGTAAAAGCTAACATTAGTAAATATCTCCCAAAAAGAAAAGGCAACATTTCGCCTTTTTTCGAAGAATTGCACCCAAGGAGAGATCAGCGCTTTATGCTGTGGATTAGCATCATGCATGCTCATGCTCTCAATTTCTGTCAAGTGAGGCAAAGTCATGTTACTTAAACAACCAAAGACAATGTCCAAGCCACATCGCAGCACCAGAATTGCCCCGCTGCTGATTTATGAACAGGAGTAGCCTTGTGTTTTGAATTAGCTCTGAAGCTAACCATTTCTAGGTACACATCAAACGTTTGGAATTATTACAGTTTTATATTTTTTTGAAAGAAGTCTCTTATGCTCACCAAGGTTGCATTTATTTGATTAAAAATACATTAAAAACAGTAATACTGTAAAATAATGCTACTGGTTTAATACATTTTAAAACGGAATTTATTCCTGTGATGCAAAGCTGAATTTTCAGCATCATTACTCCAGTCTTCAGTGTCACATGATCCTTCAGAATATACTGATTTGGTGCTCAAGAAACTTCTCATTATTATTAATGTTAGGATCAGTTTTTGCCGCTTCATATTTTTGTGGAAACCATGAT